AAGCCGATTATTCACTCTTTGTAAAAGGTAATGAAAATGAATTTTTAGCTCTTTTACTCTATGTTGATGATATCATAATAGCTGGAGCACAACAACATGCTATTGATGATCTAAAATAGAGATTGTACTCTTATTTCAAAATGAAAGACTTGGGAAATTTGAGATACTTTCTAGGTCTTGAAATAGCTAGATCAGTAGCCGGTATATTTTTATGTCAAAGAAAGTTTTCACTTGAGCTACTAGAAGAATATGGCCAGCTAGGTGCTAAACCTTGCAAGACACCAATTGAAATAAATCATAGACTTGCTAGTACAGATGAAGAACTGTTAGAAGATCCTACATTCTACAGACAGCTGATTGGAAAGCTTTTGTATTTGAATATAACTAGGCCTGACATAAGATATGCTGTGGGAATCTTATCCCAGTTCATGGAGAAACCGGCCAAGACACATTTACTGGCAGCTTACAGGGTTGTGAAGTATATTAAGGCATCTGCTGGACAAGGAATTCTACTGTCATCGAAATCAAAGTTAAGGCTGAGTGCATATACAGATAGTGACTGGGCAGGATGCCAAGAAACCAGAAAATCTATCACAGGTTTTTGTATCTTCCTCGGTGATTCTTTGATCAGTTGGAAATCAAAGAAACAATCTACAGTTTCTAGAAGTTCAGCAGAGGCAGAGTATAGAGCAATGGCAGGGACAGTTGCTGAAGTCACATGGATAAAATACTTATTGAATGACTTGAAGATTAATTTTGTGTTGCCTATTGAGTTATATTGTGACAGCCTATCTGCCATTCATATCTCCAAAAATCCTGTATTCCATGAAAGGACTAAGCATATAGAAGTGGATTGTCATTTTGTACGTGCAAAGGTCATGGAAGGAACAATCAAATTACAACATATCTCTACTAAAGAACAACCTGCGGATATCTTCACAAAGGCTTTGGGAACGAATCAATTTTATAAGCTTCTTACCAAGATGAACATAAACAACATTTATGTGCATCTTGAGGGGGAGTGTCAAGACTCGTCTAGAGAAGGAGCTGGCCAGCTGGAATTAACAGAAGGCAGTTAGTAGGTTATTAGTTAGTTAGTTAAGCATCTGTTAGTTTGTTATTAGTTAAAGTTATGGTTAGAAAGTTAGTTGAGACTTGTGTATAAATAATTGTACATTATGTTCAGAATAATGAGACATTCAATCAGAATTCTTCATTCCTCTTGTGCAATTTAACATAGTAAAAAATTATTTTTTTTTGCGTTTTAGCCCATATCCAATTTTTTCCTGGATCCGCCCTTGGCAGTATCTAATGGATTCATAACTTTAGTAAACTCGTGTTTCCAATAAATGCGACTTTAGTTGAAATATAACCTTAAGCCCACAGTTTGGTAACAATTAAAATCTAAATTTTAATCTAAATCAATAATTTATTATATCCATATATTTCGCGGGACTCACAACGTTTCAACCATCATATTGCATTAAAATCTGTTAAAAATCTAATTTTAATCTCTATCAAATAGGGGCTAATTAATAAAAGCCAATAACCGCTTGTAACAATTCTCAACAGTAACAAATTGGCAAATTAAAAACGGAAAATTCAACAGTTCCCCAGCATCAAACCGAATTCTCCGGTCCATGCAAAGTCCTCCATCGTATATTCAAGGTTGATTGAGGTAGGTAGACCTCAAAGTAAATTGAATATGCTAACAGATTATCCCAACTTCAACGTTTCACTCAAGCCAACCAACTCTTACTAGAAAAAAAAAAACACACACTAAAAAAATTTACACATAATTATTACCACAATAAAAAAAGGATGAGAATTATAAAAAACAAATAACATTGTAATCATTACAAAAATTTACGTTTGATTGCAAGGGTGAAAAATGGGTAGAAAGAAAATGTTTTACAGGAAAAAGATTTGTCTAGAAAATGTTTTGGGGAAAATGATTTCAAGTGTGTTTGATTGATATAATTTTCCACGCGGAAAATTTTTAAATTTTCTATTCGTTTGACTTTATTTTATATGAAAATTGTTCATTAAAGTGATTTTTTTTTCCACAAGTGGTTATAAAATTTGTTTCCATTGCCAAAAAATATATATATATTTGTTTCCTAAAAAATCATTTTTTTTATCAAATTTTAGTATTTGTTTGACTTTGTTTTATATGAAAATTTTACATTAAAGTGATTTTTTTTTTACACAATTGATTATGACATTTTCATTGCAAAAAAAAAAAAAAAAAAAAAA